GCACAGGTGCAGTAGATCATCGAACGAACCATTCATTCGTTAAGGAAGTGAAGACGGATGATGACCAGTTGTTTAAGTCTAGTTAAGCGTAGGCGTATATTACGTTTGCGAAGATGTTTAGTCGAACTGTTGCGTCTATCGCTTAGATAAAATATTTCCCAGTGCCAATGAGTTTTTCTGCCATCAAAAAGCCAATTTTAAATCAGTAATTACAACGAACCCAGTGTCGTCTTGTTTTTATCGATCGCTTGTTGCGTGGGGTTGGTCTTCTGTCCTTAAGTACCATTCTTTGATTAAGGTTGAATAAATTTGTTTAATCTTTAATTTATCTTTAATTACCTACATTGGGTGTTAATTAAAAATGTGTTAATTTGCTGAATTTCTTCTTGTTAGTAAACTCATTGACGCATAAAAAGTGAGCGAGACTCAATTTGGTCATTGAATTTTTACTGAATTTCCATTGAGATACTATGGAAGTCGTGTAGTCTCACTAAAATTCTTTGCAATCTGTTCTACCAACCAAGAAAAATCTGTAGTTCCAATTGAGGTTTGTTGGAATCTCACTCTTGTCACTTGAAAACAAAAACTCCAAGAATAGTATGGAAAATTCGAAGTGTTCAAATTTCTATCCCCCTTTTCCATGTGACTCCAGTCAGTCGCTGACTGACTGTCCAATTACCAAAGTAAAGTAAGTGAGAATGTTGTTGTCATTATGTCATTTCTATAGGGTTGAATTTAATGGGTTAATTAGAAGGCTATCACAAAATCCCGATGAAAGATGCCTCAAATTCTGGGGAAAGTCGTCGTCGGTGTCCCGATACAATCTCCAGACTTTTGTTCGCTCGCCTTCGATTCCCTTTCAATTTTTGTTTCGTAATGAAATCTAGCACGATTTTATTATTAGTAGAGCATTTAATTTCAGGTCAATAGATTGAACGGATCCCTTCTAAAAAAACTTTGAGGGCAGTCGTGCGCAATGAACAATGTAAAAAATGAAGATAAGTAAATAATTTAATATGATTGGCATTGCAATTGCTGTGCGCTTTCGCGATCCGTCTTCAATAATTTTTTTAAACAGCGTGTCATTGTTTACGTAATAGTAATGCTGTGAACGCACACTCGCATGCACGCGACTCGATCTGAAAACTAGTTGAGAAAGACGTCGAATTCCATTGATAACTTACCATAAACTCCTTCCCATGTGCTCGCTAGTGGAATTCGAAGCCCGTTATTCCCATGCGTTTTAACGTCCACGATATTATTAGATTACTTTGACGTTCTCTTAATTGACATGCAGACGTTATCATCGAGTGTCGCGTGGGTTATTGACGTACAAAGTGTAAGTTGTGGCTGCTAGTAAAAGGGGTTTGTTCATTACGCATTCTATTTGAGTGATATGAGTCATAAACTTAACTCGCGCGGATTACTGCCGGTGTGAGGTAAGCCTTGATTAGTAATTGTGCTTGTATGAAATGATCGACGTTACTGCAGTGGCATATCCGACCATGTACTAAAATTACAAACACGTCCTTATTAACTTAAGTGATTGTCCATGTTACAAAAGATACATAGATTTTTTTAAACAAAAAATTGACAATTCGGTGTTCCACAAGGGTCCACAATCAGGTTCGGTGCTATTACTAATTCTGTCCTTAACACACGTAAAGAAATTAAAATAAATTAAATCAATTATGTAACTGTGTAACCACAATGCATCTATAGAGAAGTTGTCCAAGTTGCGAAATTTTGAGAGCTGATCTCGGGTAAATTATCTTAATTAAAATGACAATTAAAATTAACTTTCCTTTTTGTTCAAAAAAACTGCATAAGTACAATCATTAAATATTATTAAAGATTTGGTTGACTTACGTATCTTAAGTGTATATTGTAACTTTTTTTTTTCCTGCAATAAAACCGAGAATAAAACAATCAAAATTTGATTAACAAAAATACGGTTTAAATTGTCTAACTTTTTATTCGGCATTAATTACCTCAAATAATTTGTATCGGTATTATGATTTCCTTCATTGTCTAAAAATAGACACTATTTGCCTTAATGTCCCCAACATTTCCTGTAGATTTCCCCAAAATTTCCTCAAATTTCCCCCGAATTTCCTGTAATTTCATCCATTTCCTACATGTCCTCGAAATTTCCCATATGAGGAACAAGATTACTTATTTTAGGGAACAAATATTTTCTTCATTACCAAAAAATTGCCACCACTTCCCTTTAGTTTTCCCAATATTTCTAGCATTGCCTTAAAATTTACACAAAATTTCTCCGAATTAACGTGAAATGAGTAACGAGACTTTCTTATAGAAACTTTATTTCCCTAAATTTTCTTATAGATTTTCTCAAAATTCCCTCATTCCTTTGAAATTTCCTCATATTTCCCCAAAGTTTTCCAACATTTCATTGGGGAAAATAAATTTTATGCACATTAACATAGCCGGCGGAACGGTACGGTAGTCTCGAGCGCCACCAGGAGTTGTTTCAAGGTCGGTGGTTTCGAAACGGTGCAGTTGCCACAGGTAAGCTAATCATAGAACGGTCACCCAGGCCAGGTGACAACGATAGATCACTGGCGAAACCCTAAACAAAATTACGGCACACTGAAACGGTAGCAATCTTTTTCAAGCGGGAACGGAAGCAAAATTAAGTATCGGTATCTACTGGGAAAACAACATTAAGGACAATAAATGCCCTCTATAATTAACGGAATGTAGTAACACATAGCGCGGTTGTCATATTCATTTTTTCAAGAGAAAGGAGGGATTGGAATCGGATAAATTACATTAGATATGGATTGATGGTATTTGAGGTTAGCTCCGATAATTTTACAGCCAACAATTTTCAAATATGATTCGGGCACATTGTGTAAAGGTGAAGTGAAATAACCTACCTATAGCACAATAGGAATGTCTTGTAGTGATGGGTAGCTGGGAAATTTTTACTGTCACAGCGGTAGTTCGTTCTGGGCACCTACCAAAAGAAATTCTGGTTTATTCACACCAAATATTAAATCAAAAATAAACTCCACAATGGGCTAGCGTAAATATTCAAAATTATAAATTACATTACACACAAACCTTAGCATTTTGACTATGCAATGAAATCCCCTCAATTTAGCATAACCCCCTAATCAAGAAAGATCGCTCAATTTGATTCGAATCTTAAAACAAATTTCCACAAATGAATTGATATTCCGGACAACAATTCGGCCATAGGACCAAGTACAAGTAAAAAATATAAGGCAACTCTTACCTTGCATAAATTATGCTGACGCTTAAAGGTGACCTCAGTTCTGGCATCCAAAACCTGCAAATAATCAAAAGAAACTCCAAAGCTGCAGAGCTCGGTACTTAATTAAGTAAATAATGCCCGAAGGGCCTCGCTTTACACGTATTATGGCTTCTACAACAGGTAAGATACTTAATCGGCCAACATCTCCAGGAGGAAATGGTGGACTATAATAATATTCATGTGGCAAACTCGATCATAACTTAACCGAGATGTTGTCTCTTTGTTGAGGATCAAATCTCGGTGATCCAATTGAAACCCTAAAAGAAATCGAAGGTAACCCTCTTCGTTGATATCATAAATTTGCAATTTAATGAATCCAATTGCCGGAGATTAATAAAATATGGATGATGGCAGTTACAATTCCATGCGTTCTCAACTAACACTTCAGCTGTTGGTTTTAACGAAGTGTAACTGGATAAGGGTTTCCACAGAAAGAAAGTGAAAATCGAAACGCACTGCGCGGTAAAATGGCGTTGTTAAAATTCCAACAATAGAGTTCAAAAGTTATTAGGATCTTTCAACAAGTAAATGTTGGCTGCTTTGTAATGGAAAAAATAAACCGTTACAAGTCGTCGCTGCCACCTTGATACTTTAAGGGACGACCACACGACTGATTAGTATGCGGTTTACACAATTCGAGACTAAGCTTAGTTTGAGGTTGTCGCGAGCTGCTACTACCCGACCCATACCAATTATTATAATATCGTGGACATTTTTCAATTCCCATAACCAAAATATGTCAAAATCGCAACGCCAAATTTCAACTTGGAAAAAACCGCAAGACTAACGTTGTTAGAACTAAATATTTATTTTCCTGTATCAAGTCATTGGTGTTGACGGAGAGACATCAAATATGGGCCAATTTTGTTGGGAAAACGCCAAGAGTTATGCGTGGTACAAAAAGAGGTGTCCACAATTATAAAGTACACATGGAACCGAAGTCGTTTCTAGCGTAACCCTCAAATAAATCTAATTATTGTGGTTTAGTAAGGACTAACGACACGAAAATGATAATAATCTCGTTTTTGGTGTATAACGTTTTCATGACACGTTCGACTTCTAATGGGAATGTGTAAGTGTGACAGAAATTATATGTAACTTTTCGGATTTGTACTAGTACAGTTCAAGGTCTGCGTAATTACACTGCATTCACAGTGCATCAGTTTGATATTTTACCTACTCACCTCGTGAGCATACCGTTTGTTAATACAAAACGAGTAACAATTTTCGTTCCGTCTGAGTATGCGACGCGAAAGTAGGTAAATTTAGATAACGCAAAAGGTAAAATCGCGCCGAAAATATTCCATTTATGCATCTAGTCTAATAATATGGAAACAGTACATAACTGTTAAAAATAACTTCAAATTTTAGAAGGTATGTTAACCTTAATCCTCTTATTTTGCTCATGCGACGCTGGCGAAAAACGCGTAGAGTAGGTAGTTGAAAACAACGCCATACCAGTTGCCAATACTGAAACTGTAGAAATTGTTATATAAGTTGTATATATTAAATCATTTTTATGTCGAAAGAACAATACGTTGCGGCAATTATCCTTGTAATTAATACTCATTAAGCTATCCTGTGTTTCATTTTCACCTGTACAAAGAAAGGTTCGCTTACAATGTAAGAAGTACCTACTTATTCTTTTTTTTAGGTTTGCAATTATTAAGTTTAATTTTTTTTTCTGTTCTTCCAGAGGTGTGCAGTGGAGAAACAATACCTGAGGTAGAAATAATTAGTCTACTGGAGGAACAAATTCCTAAGTATCGTCTTAGAGCTGATACACTCACTAAATTTGGCGGTAATTTTTTTTAAATATTTTTCTAATAACGTATTTTTTAAGAAAGCAATTTTTAACGCTCTGCTACTGGTTAATAATGTTGCAATTCGCTAGACTAGATACCATCTCATTGCTGACATTCGCGGTATCTGCTTGTTCATAATTGTAGAAAACTTTACTTCAAGGTGGTGGCATAATTGTTAAAAAATTTCAAGCTTAATTAATATTTTATTTGTTTTGGGCCCCATATTGAGAAAAATCTATTCCTTGTAACAACTTACCCAATTACTTTAACGATAGTTCAATTAGTTCCAGTTTAAATTACCGTTTTTTGCTTTCTATTTATTTTCTTGTCAAAAATAGATAGGTACAGCGTGTTTCCCCATTGACTTTACTATATGTGTAATTGATAAAAAATGTTTGAATCTCGTTTTGATGCTTTGGGATCCCGGCGTGCTTGGTCTGAAAATAATTTCAAGCACATTAAATCCAAGATGGCCGTGACAATTGAGAAAAAACGCAATTAAACTAAAACGTTCATAAATACATCTAGTCTTTGTGCACCAGGAGTTCTAGATGCGCTTTCGTGACCGCTTCCGTTCCGCCCCCTGGACTTGGATATGATTCGGAACGCACGGACCGACTACAGACTTCTGGGGCGGTGGCTTCTTGATAAGGTGCTCCACTGTCAAAATTTTCAATTTTTTTTCTTAATTGTAACGACCATCTTAGATTTTAAAATGTATAAAATTTGCTTGAAATTCTTTTCAGACCAAGCAGGCCGGGATTCCAAAACATCACTGTACCTATGACTCGATTTGTTCAAATCAAGTAGGTACTCTTTCAAGGATCGGAAATATTTCTTTTGCGAACCACGTTCTAAATTTGTGTTATTTTTTTTAAAGAACAACGGTTTAAGAAAATGTGTAGGTGACATCAGAGCAAGGACATGAAAACCTATAAATCGCATTGTAATTTGGGTTTATAGGATATTTTAGGACCTTTAAGGACTTTTTTAAAAAACCCAATCTTGTGTATTTATCAAGTGCATTGAATAAATTCTATTTGTCTATTCCTTTTAGTATACAATTTCCAAGATGGCGCCGCTTCCGTAAATACGTGAAGTTGACGCCATCTTGGTTTTTAAAATAGAAACATAACCATTTTCTAAATGCGCCATGTTATTCTGAATTGAACGCATTTAAGATTTGCGTCCGGGTCTGTCTTAGTTTTTGACATGTTAATTTTTCTCTCAAAAAATGTCAATAACTCGAAACTACTGCATATAGACACACAGAATGTTTAATCTGACCTTAAAAAATTGACATATCTCAAGCGGCGCCATCTTAAAATTATTATATTTCATTTCGGAATGGTTGAGTTGAGTATGGCTGTGAGCCAAATTTCAAGTTTCTACATATTTCAACTGCAAGTTTAAAAACGTCTAACGAACGAGCTACATGTATCTCCCTGTATAACATTGTCATCTGAAAACCGAAATTCGGTAATTTATTTTTTTTATTTGCAATAAATTTGAAATCAATATTATTTTTGGATAGAGAATGAAGGGACCTTTCAAACGATATATCACAAGGCCATTAAAAAATGGGGGTTGTAACTGACACTTGAAGGGGGTTGAAGGAAGGGATCACACGAGGGATCACATTATTACATTGAAAATATGAATCTTTATAATTTAAGCTTCACGTGTTTTGGGATTTTCTATAATTATGTACGGCAGGCATGTCAAACTCATTTATCGCCAAGGGCCATTAAGGGTCCCACATACAGCTGCGGGCCACATAATTAAAAAGTTCACATTAATTTTGATTTTTTATTATTAACATAAAAAGTAGGTATGCAAAATAATACAATAAAACGAAAAAATACCAATAATCATCAAATCATGAAAGTATACCCTGTGTCCTATTTTTTTGAGACTGCAGTCGTATATCTCAGCTGTTTTTAAAGCTAAGAGACGTGCGGTTTTCGGGACTCTGTGTCATTTTTTTGTTAAACTTGTCTACTTAAACAAACAGAACAAACAGAATCAATCCAACTAAATGCGTTTGTTTCTTATTAGATACATGTTGACTTTTTGGGATGTTATCAATCATATCTTACTACCGATGTATGATAGAAAAATAGGTAAAAACTACCTATATTAGATATATTTTCGTAAAATCCAGTAGTGTAGTAAAAAAATTTGAATCACCGTTTCTGAGATTGAACCCAAACTTGATATTTTTTAAATCTAACACCCTGTATTTTAACGTCAATAAATAAAAATAAATAAATAAATGAAAATAAATCATATTTTTCAAAATGACATGTTTCTACCGCCATTACCATGGATCCAATAAACAGAACAAAATCTCCATGACTCCATTGCTTACTATTTAAAAAAGTAAAAAATAAGGTTTCTATTAATTTTAATCGATAAGATTTAAAAAAATATATAGGTTGTGACACATAATAGTCATAATAATAATAAATGCCTCTATTCAATACATCAATGTAATCAGGAAAAGGCATAAAAAGCAATTGACGTTAAGATATACAGGGCGTTTTAAAAAATACCAACTTTAGATCAAATCTCAGAAACAGGGATCCAAAACTTTTTTTACTACGCCGCTGGATTCTACGTAACAATATCTAAAATAGCCAGTTTTTATCTTTTTTATATCTTAATCGGTAGTAAGGTCTGATAACATTCCAAAAGTCAAGCTTTTCGTTTTCACCCAGTATCTCAGAAAAAAACGTAGCTAGATTGGTTCTGTTTGGGGTATTATACGTTTCACCAAAAAGTGGCAGAGGGTAGCGAAAACCTTAAGTCTCTACCTTTAAAAACACTGCAGTTTTAACCAAAATAGGACACACGGTACAATTAACTTTTATAATTTGCAAACATCGTTATGGGCCGCAGGTTTCAAAACGGCGATGCGGCCCGCGTGGTTGACATGCCTGGTGTACAGTAACCGAAATAATGAATTTATTCCATTTGAATTATCCACCCTGTATATAAGTTCTGGTGTGGTACTTTCTTTGCAGATCCCACGCTGGTAATCATCCTGTATATAAACTGTAAACGTATGTCATTTAGATTGTGAAGTTCGTTAATTTATTTTACTCTGACTATCCCAAATAATTTTGAATAAAGGACCTGTCTTAATGCTGAATTTCCATGACTTGGTTGATGCGGCAATTTCTACGATGCAATGAAGAAGTGTCTGACACCTGACTACTAACGCGCTTGATGCTTTCTTATTTTTGGAGATATCACTAGATTCACAAGCCACCCGCTGATAAAAAGTATTACATTGAATCTTTAATTTTTATTTTCCCTGATGGCCTTTAATCCGCACTAACTTTTGGTTCCCAAAATATCTCTCTTCATATGTCTGATGCCTGTGACTTGACCGCTATCGTCTCTTTGTGTATACCCAACGAACACTATTTTCTAGTAACCAACGAAATTGTACCTTAGTTATTACAAAATGTTGAAATTTTAATATAGACGGTACGGAACAAAATTTAAAGAAAAACCTGCACTATGGCGCCGTCTAAATTTTTCTTGGTTCACTCAAGAAGCTTATGCTAGTGTTCACAGGAATGATATATTTTGGGACGCAAGTCCCAAAATTTTCGATTCTTCTTTAAAATATGGCACTAAGTATCAAACAATAGCAGTGAAAAGATGTCTTTCGACACTGTCGTGTGAATTTGCAGCTTTGACCCCACCAACTAAAGCACATGGCTGAGATCGACATTTTCCCTTTGTAAGTACACTTTTTGTACACTTTTTTTTATATACCGGGTGGTGCCTAGAGCGACGCAGCATAGGGATTTCAATGGTAATTTCTTTATAGCCAATTACTAGCTCCCCTAATTATTTTAGAGCAAAAGTCTAAATACGTTTTTTTTAGAGAAAAAAAATACTGCATCTGTTCATACGATTACTTATAATTTTCCGTTTTTCAAAACCGTAGAAATCCACAAAATAAAAAATTACATTTTTATAAATCAGTGATGCTTTGGAATCTTTTAACAAACTACAAGCGCATCGCATCTAAGTTATCGTTGTTTGACGTCCAACGATTTTCATATTTAATCCTGTTTCAACTATCCGACGCAAGAAAAAGCGTCTATGGGGTAATGTTTTTTTGGAGAATGTAATGCTGCATCTGCATCAGATACCATTTGTGTATCATTTTCCGGAACCAGTAGAGTACATAATCGAAGAAAAAGAAATTGATTTGAGGAAGAATTGTTCTTAAACGTATATTCGGTTTTTCCGCTACTGCAGCCAAAACAATGAATATATTGTTGTTTTCCGGATGCAGTGATTTAACACTGTTCCTGTTCTTAGAAACTTGGGCACAATTCTGTCTACTGTGGTACTGCTTGGAATCGGTCGATTGGGGTACTTCACAGTAAATAAAGACGTTATTACCTTAGTGTATTCTATTCTTACACTATGTTATTACTTGGCGGGCATAAAACAACTTTAACTTTAACTTTCCTCTTTTTCTTCAGTTAAATTGATAAACAATTTTATGATTAACTAATTTATAAAGTACAAATTTAATATACGTCAAAGGCAAATAATGAAAAGTTATCACTGTTTTTTTAGTTAATTCCAAGCCATATCTTCAGATTTATTGTAAAATGAACCTTTTTATTTTGTCGATTTCTACGGTTTTGAAAAAGGAAAATTATGAGTAATAGTATGAACAGATGCAGTATTTTTTTCTCTGAAAAAACCTAGTTAGATTTTTGCTCTAAAATAATTAGGAGAGCTAGTAATTGACTATAAAGAAATTACCATTGAAATCTCTATGCTGCGTCGCGCTAGACACCACCCTGTATATGAAAGATTATAATCAATCCCCTTTTGCGGGACGTACAGGGGGGAGATGCTGGAAGGCGTGTGCTCCCCCCCCCCCCCCCCCGACTTCTATCATACTCCGTCCGATTTTATTGGGGTATTGTTGTTGTATGTAATACCGTATTACATACGTTGCGGACTAAAAACAGTAAAATTGCGCTCTTGCATTTTTGTCTTTTTTTTTAAATTTTGACCTTGACACTTGACCTCTGGTCCTCAAGTAGTGACTCGGCATATTTTATAAACAAACGCATCATTTTACGTTAAAGGGTTCGGCTTAAAATGAAAGTACGGGCGGACAGACTTCCGACAACGCGTTTTATCGTTTCAAGAACATTTTATCAACTTGTTATCAAAAGTGCGCGGAAATCGTTTCTTTGGCATAGATAATGTGTTTCCAACTGTTGCATTTGTCTCAATGATCTTATCGTTTTCCTCGTGTTGAAATTTCCTTGAAGTTGTTTTAAAATTGATTGTTTCATTTAACGCCACCAAAATAAACATTTTTTCACAGCAACCATGACACTTAGAATGGTTGAACTATCGGCCCCACATTTTGTAACCATGCCAACGCTTGTGAATGCGAAAATCTGCCATGGATCCCGATTGTTACTGAGCATAAACAAGAAGTTACTCAAACGGAGGTACATTCTGGTATGAACAGTGGCGCACCCAGAAAAAAATTCGGTGGGGGTTATTGAAATTAGTAAATCCAAAATGTTAACATAAATTATGTTTTTAATAAACAAAAGATTACACAGTTACATGGTTGCTATGGATTAAACATGCAAATTATAGTGCGCGAATTGATCACTTTGCGCACGCGATTTGCGTACGGGAATGATTAATTCATAAACGATTGTAGGAAAAGATTATTTTTAAAAAATGTATCAGTGCTTAATTTCGGGGGGGGGGGTTAACCCCAAAACCCCCCCCTATGGGTGCGCCACTGGGTATGAAACGGTTAATTTGTGAGAGCAGATCAGGACCAAACTACATTCATTTTTTTTTTATTTAGAAAAAGCCGTTAATGGCCCATATGAATAAAATGCTTATACTTGCAAAATTCAAAGTAAGTACTCGTAAGTGATCCTTCATCCTGGGCGATTTAGCAGCGCTGCTGAGCAGCGGTACGGGACGCAGTGCAGCGCTTCTGAGCAGTCCAGTGTGAAGGGGACTTACGAGTATTTACTTTGAATTTTGCAACTTTGCACCTTTAATCATATGGGCCAATGTTCCTTGTACTTAAATCAAGCACCATCTGTATTAAATGAAAAAATGGAAATAATGTCAACCAACTATTTCTTCTTTACTGTACACCATTTTTGCCTGCGGTACTTCAGAACTGTGTGTCAATGGGGATTTTACTGCTATTCAGAATTCAGATGTGGTGGAGGTGAATGAGCAGAGGGAGACAAAAATCATTGTCAAGTATGTCTCTTTCAGTAGTCAAACATTGCATGAAAACCACATCATGATATCATATTCAGTTCTGCTGTTAATGAGCCTAATGAGGGTGGGTTGTTTCCGTTAGAAAAAAGAAAATAATCATAACAAAAAAGAATCGTTTTTATACAGGGTGTCCCATTAGTGCGATATCCGGGTGATATCTTTTGGCAGGGTGATACTCCAAAAAATACAACATTGGTTTACTGGTTTAAAGTGCATAACGCAAAAATATTTTTTTATGTACAGGATGCTCCATAAATTTGGAAATCAAAAGATTTTTAGAAAAATCATTATTGTAACACTTCTTAAACCATTCCCAAGTTTATTGTAGTAATTCTAAACTCTAAATAAACTTTTGACTGTTCCTTTGTTAATCGATGCGATTTAAGTTGCCCAAATTCTCTAATGCTTCGAACCATTTAAAAGAATCTCTCTGTATGTATTCATAGTTTCCCAAATGATCTAAATCCTTCTAGATGCTTAGAAAAAACCAAAATCTCCACAGCATGAGCAATAAATTGTTTGATTGTGTAGCAGGTTTCTTGAATGATTTTATAGTTGTTTAACTGCCAAATCGTCTTATTATTCCAATTCTGTTGTTGCAGGTTACGAAAATCAAGATTGGTTTATTCCCAGTCCCGCACTACAAGTTGAGGAGGCCGATCTGAAATTGTCCCCGGACCAAATCCGGGAAACTCTTAACTACTTTCGTAAGTATCTTGCATCTGCGTTTCAAAAATAAAGCAGAGCACATTGTGTATATTATATACAATAAAATGTATTTTATAGTAAACAAAGGTGAATTTACGGTGCAATAATAGTAAAATCATTGTAGGTTATTAGGTTAAACTTGGATGGGTAGCTTAATTGCGACTGTTACATTAGAATAGGTAAAGGAAAGATTGCGTAAAAAATAACAATTTCCTCTTCAGCTGTAGATGAAGAGAAACTGTGGGTGATTTTTATGCAGTTTGAAGTCTACTTAAGCAGTGTCTGGCGATGAGTTTTGATGAAGATAAAGTATAATTACTTAGTTGGATGAGTGTGTTGATTTACTTGTCAGTTCTACATTTGTTATCTTATCACTTTATACTCGAATTAGCGTAATTAAGGAATTGGTTCTATTTCTCACTCTTTTTCTCACATTCTCTCGCCCTATCATTATAGTATGGGAGGTAACCCGCAATTTTCTGTTGCAGTTCTATGTAGTAATCGGGTGAGCCAAATGACCAAGACCTACGATGACATAGAAGCGGTAACTAGGCTTCTGGAAGAGGTTAGTACACGAGTATGTTTTATCAAAATTAACCTTAGCTATAAATAGTGTTGTGTTAATTGCGGAAAGCTAATAAATGTGATAACTGTGCAGCTTAGTGGTACATTTCCATTTCAGAAAGAGAAAGATTTAGAACTGACTGCTAGAATCGGCAAAGAACTACTTCAGCAGAATAACAAGTTTGAAACGACAATTTCGTCTTTGGAATCTGAACTGAAGAGCGCCAATGAGAAGATCACTCAACTCACGCACGAGTCTGCGAAGAAAACAGAACTCATTCAAATTCTTACGAACGATATGGACGAATCATGTCTCGAGAGCGGCATCACTAACGGACGTATCAACTTCGAATTGATGCAGAAGAAGATCGGTTCTTTGGAGGAGGAGAATGTAGCCCTCAAATCTGAGTACTGTCGATTGGCTGAGCAAACTGACGATGTGGAGGCGAAGGAGCAAATGCTCTTAAGCGACATCACTGGCCAGCTCGGTATGTTGACCACCTTTGTTAAGTTACGCTAACGACGGGTTTATAGCTTGTGCGAATTCAAGTATGGGACTATTGGAAGATGAAGTCGATCGACAAAAGGAGGAAAATCGTTTACAGCATGAACAAATTTTGGCTTTATCTGCAAAGTTGAGAGATACTGAAATGAGGCTGCATAAGGTATGTCAATAAACTACTAGTAGGTGTGAAAGCGTCCCGGGAGTTACAGTGCTTGCAAAAGCGTGGTCACTCTGTGATAATTGTAGATTAGATCATATCACATATTATACAAGGAGAGTTAGTGACCCTTTTGGGGTGCTGCGGCAGACAATTTTACAAGGGGTTTGGAATGGTTCAATTTTCACACGCGATACCTCTTTTGAACACATCTATTAAAACTCTTTTTTCATAATTATACAGGTACTTTCCACTCCCTAATAAATCTGCATCTTAGAACAACCAAATTTAACATGACCACCCTTTGGTTTTGTTTTGGGTTTAGTTTTGGTTTCCATCACTTTAAATGAAATGAGATTACAGGTCAATATTCCAGTTGCTGCTGTTCAAAATGTGTTCCTTTGTTTGGACCAGAGATGCAAGGGCTCAGGCTACTCACTATCAACTTCCATGTTACAAGAATCTCCCACGCAGTTTGTGCAAAAGTTAATAGTGTGTTCCCTACAAATGTGTTTGAGACACTCCCTGGTCCTGAACTCGGCGGGATAGGTATGGTTGACTGTTTTGGACTATGAATGATTCATTTATGCAATTCCACAAACCTTTCGGAATGTTTAGCATTGCTGTGGTGTTATTTTCTATTCGCAGTTGCGAGAACCGCCATGTTTTGACTAAGTACACAGGATTGGTTGAAACCAAGGTAATGAATTTATCTTGTTGGACACAATAGCGAAATCTAGTAATTTGGTTAAACCAATCCGCTCAATGATAAATTGGAAAAATCATTGCCGACACAGAGCATTATGGACACTGTCTATATACAGTCACTGTAACTGGTTCTACAGTCTTACACAAGACAGTGGCGACAATAGAGTGTCTAATTTTTGATTGGTTGTTTCGATTGAGAGTCATGTTGCATCGAGTTTCTGGTACTTTTATATGGTTATTGTGTATTATGTGTATTGTGTGTTGCTTACACTACACTACAATGAATTTTGGATGCAACTTTGCGGCTGGGCGAAGCTTCTAGCCCTTATTGTCGTCACTGCCTCGTATAAAGTCACGGGTTCTACAGTGACTATACTATAAACATTGACGACAATTGATGTATCGATTTTTATTGGCCTGACTAAAGGTCCATTTCCCCAGCCCCGTCCATTGCTTCCATTTTTGAAAAAAAAATTGGTTTCGATTGTGCTGCAATTATTTTCGTTTGTACTACTCGCTTTCCCGGAGAAACGATGGGCGGAGCCAAGGAAATGCTACCCCCACTCAACCTTACTATTGTAAAACAAACTACTGGAATCGTTTGTGCTGCAATTATTTTCGTTTGTGCTACTCGCTTTCCCGGAGAACGGTGGGCTGGGCCAAGGAAATGGGACCCCGCTCAATCGTACTATTGTCAAAAAAACTACTGGAATCTTTTGGGCTTCATTTGAGCTCGTTTGTGCTGCAATTATTTTTGTTTGTGCTACTCGCTTTCCCAGAGAAACGGTGGGCGGAGTCAAGAAAATGCAACCTCCGCCAAATCTCACTATTGCAAAACAAACTACTGGAATCGTTTGTGTTGCAATTGCTTTTGTTTGTGCTAGTCTCCGTCTCAGACAAGTGGTGGGCGGGGTCAAGGAAATGTGAACCCGCCTGATTTGACTATTTTCAGAAAAACTATTGGAATCGTTTGTATTTTTTTTTGTTGTGGTTATTTTCGTTTATGCAACTTTCTCGCCCAAACAGTGGTGGTGCATTTTTCTCAATTATAAATTATAATACGGAATATTAGTAGTAGAGGAGCCACCTGAGCCAAACAGTCACATGACATGCCAGATTTGCGTGAAAGTGAGGCTCGCGGGTACGAGTATGAGACATGTCCGGGGTACGAGATAGGCAAGAATGCGAAAATATATGTCAACGGCAACAGGCCTGTTTGTCAGAAAAAAGGGCTGTTAAACTAACCCGATTGTTTTTTTGATAATAATAAGATTGGGCGGGGCGGGGCGCATTTCTTTGGCCCCGCCCACAAATTCTTTGGGAAGACGATAGAACAATCGAAAGTAGTTAACAGCACAAACGATTCCAGTAGTTTTTTTGACAATAGGACAATAGTAAGATTGGGCGGGGGTCGCATTTCCTTGGCCCCGCGTAGCACAAACGAACATAATTGTAGCACAATCATATCCAATTTTTTTTCAAAAATGAAAGCAATGGGTGGGGCTGGAGAAATGGACCTCCTGACTAATCAAGTTGTAAATGGCCGCAATTAAGAGGCAAATTTTTTTTGTTTACTTTTTATCAGCAAGAGTTTTGTATTAGGATTGACTCCTTTAATCGATTTTAAGCAAAACATTTGAAAACAATACAAATTTGCCTCCTAATGGCAAATGGGCGGAGCTGTTTGTATTATCTCGAAATATATCGCTCTCATTCTGTAGGTGTATAACTTTAAGACACTGCTAGCGCCATCTGTAATTTGCCCTCAAAATGGTAATAATCTGGACTCGAGGCATTCAGTTCTCCACCACTCTGGCAGTACGCTGTTAACATTTTGGAAATGAACCATTTTTCTAAGCAAGCTAACAACTGCGCCACGAGACAAGTTTTCTTTTTCCCCGGCAATTAGAAAGCGTACAGACGTTCTATAACAGTCAAATGACTTTTTATGCCAACCAGGGAAATTTTATTACTAATTTTTCGTAACAGATTTAAATAATAATGTAAAAAAATTGTGTGCAAATTGTTATTAAGAGTGGAGAATGGTCTGCGTCAAAGGGCAGACTCCTGGGCAATCAGGATGTTTGCCTATGGCACTTGAACTGGTACTAGAAGTCTGAAATGGTTTGCTTTTGTACTTCACAGAATGAAATTTAACTGAACTCTGACCTCCACTGGCAGCTACTCAGCTCCTCACTCCCCTTTTTGGGGTAAGCAAAGTGACAGTAAACATTTTGTAACCATTCCAAACTATTACTCATTTAATACCTGTAACTGTAAATCATGTAGTGTGTAATAATGACCAGTAAACGCTTGCCGCTTAAAAATACGCAATATTGCAAAAGATTTCAAATGTACCCATTGTAATTTTGCAACAAATTTTCAACATATTCTGAAACATCTCTTAAGACACAACTCTTCAAAGGATTTCAAATGTGCATAGTGTGATTACTACTGTACATAAGCATATTAAATGATTCTTGGTTTGAAATCCGCATTTTAGGAAAGATTACAAATTCAAAAAACTGCACTTTCTGAATGTAAACACAGCAGAATAATTTACAAATTACGGTTGTTCATAATGCATCGTGTTTCAGTTGTTTAATTTTCCAAGGTCTACCTAAAAGTGTAGGGTGCTTTTCCAAACAATCTTTCGCGCCATCAACAAATACCGGAAATACGTCAAAAATAAATTTAAGATGAAATTCAAGCATTTTTATTAATTAATAAATTAATCTCTTTTTCCCAATATTTGATGTTAGGAACGAGATTTTGAAAAACGGTTTTCACTGGCGTCTTTGGATGTTATTTCGCTACTTTGTCATAAAGAAAAAGTCATATGATTCCATATGATTTTTTTAGGATTTTAGATCACTGTCAAAAACTAGCCCCCTGGCGGAGAATGATTCAACTAAATTAACTATATTTTGGTTGATTCTTATTGCCCAAGGAATGCTCCTTTTAACGATACCAAATCGGTCAAACGGTTAAGAAGTTAAAGCAGGTTATTGCAAAAACAATTGAACGCCCCACACCATCTTTTGTTTTTCCAAAAATGATAAACTGGTTCTCTTTAAAAATGTGAAAAAAGAATTTTTAGTTTATTATGCGAAATGGAAAGAAAATTTTAACATTTAAGATGGCAGTTACGCCCTCTGGTGGTCATTTTTAAAACTTGAAAATATTTTCCAGCGATTCTTCATAACCGATTTACCCAATAATTTTTTACCCCTAAGTCATACAACGAACGGTTCCCGAGATATGGCCGAGGAAGAGTCTTATTGGGTCACCTGGTACAATAGAAAGCTAAAGATTACACCATGCGTCCCCACTATTATTCTATTATGTGCACCTATTAGTGCGCCACGGAGCGATTTGGCTCCTCCTACAGACTAAACTGCTGCTATCCTGAAAGGGGATCTCTTAACTCACAAAACGTCAAAGTGTACACACTGTAAGTAATGGCATTACATATATAAAAATGTTGGGCAATTTCAGTGTATCCGTATATTTCATATATTTTTGCAAGCATGTAACTAATAACTCCTACAATATTAATGTACGCTTTTGTAGCTTGCAACAGAAAACGATGAGGCGAATAGTTTATTGCACATCACAAAAGAAACTCAAAATTCGTTGGCGCTAGAACTTGCAGATCTGAAAGGAAAATACTTGGAAGTCGAAGGTCTATTGCGTGACGCACAAGAGCAGCTGCGCAAAGCGAGAAGACGCGCAATGCCGTCGGCGCGTAGTTCCTTTTTCCCTTCGTTGGGTTCCAACGCGCCGATTCCGTTTGACAGTCTACAGAATGAGCTGGAATTATCGATGCATTCTGAATTTAGTGCGGATTCCGGATTTTCTGCCGTAGATTCTATGTAAGTTTTGGAATTGATTTTTAATTTTCGTTTCACTCATTGTGTCTTACGTGCAGTCCCTACTTCAAGAAGGTGTTTGACACTGTTAGATGCGCATCACAAAGTTCCTTAAGTAGCGGCGATAGTATGGGTAGCTTGAACTACGGTTATGGTGGCCAGACCTCGTCGTACACGAATGGCCCTCGTATGAGTAGTCGAGCTCAAAATTACAGGTTGAGAAGATCGTCCGGATCTATTTATAGCAGTAGTTCTTTAGGCTATCCCAGCCTGGATTCGACGGGCCAGTCCGATACGGAATCCAGTCAAACCGATTCAGATGACGGCTATCCGTAAGTACATTTTCTTTCTATAGGTTTTTCAAGTTGTCAACTTGAAGCCGACTTTGATGATTCAGTTGGTGTACAGTGTGTAATTTTTGCGTTTGTGTTTTCAAGCAGTGGTCTTCCAAAGCAAGGAGTTCCTGGCGCACCCGGTGCAGCTGAATTAGAAGCGGCACTGCGCAGGTTGAGTCCAGGAGAGGTGCTGGCACGTAGAGCAAATTTACAATATGGTCCTACATATAGTGGGTAAGTCATATGGAAAACATTCCTAATTTTGACAAATTTGGTATTAAACACATATAAAATACTGCAGGTAGAATTGCTTTTAATTTAAGAATCTAATTGAATGGTTTTGATAATGAAGTGGATGATGCATATGTAGTGCAAATTTACTTACAGTTGATGATGTGCAGGATTACTCAGGGTAATTAATCATGACAACTAAAGAAACACTTTGGATCTTGACATGACGGAGTCATCTATTACACTAAATACATTACAAAAAGAATACTACAGATGTCGCTACATCCTATACATACTAATCCTGAACTTTTGATATTCATTTCCAAACCATATTCTTATATTTGGGATGTATAATTAAGAAATCCTTTTGGTTTAGCTTTTATGTAGAGTAGGTTATAATACAAGTTTCTTGGTTTACTCATCTACACTGTTCTACAGTCATTTTCATCACAGTGTCGATTGTATCATAGTTAGATGGTGGCGCCTTAAGGAACGAGAATGGTACAATTTCACTTTTTTCAGAATGAGAAATTACAGAGTTGTTCAATCCAGGTTGACGATATTTGGCGGTTGGTTTTATTTTTTCTTAACCATTTCTCTACTGCATTGAAGGTGGAAACCTGGAGTTATGGCCTTGATTCCTCCCATGCTGTGAAAAGTGTTGTGATCCATCAATGGTTGCAACATTGAATTCAGTGTTGAAGCAAATTTTCTGCTTATACATCTATACAGGGTGTCTTAAATTGAGTAGGATAACATGGCAAAGTTGAATTTGATAGACTTGTTAATCGCCAATATTACACTTACATTTTCGATTACGAAATCTTTGCCTACTTCTGAAGATAGTACTCCACATAGGAGTGGTGTGGGAGTGTCCACAATTTCCCACAAGCTTCTCGGCAAGACGGGAATAATCGTATGCTGCCATGAAAACAGATATAATATAATTTGAAGTGCTTCTATGCATGACGAAAGCTTGCTGAAATATAAGTACATTTTTAAATACTTCGTCTTATTGCCTAAGCATCGTAATGTTAATATTGGAAGCAGGCAAGGACGGATTAATAGGAATATGTGGGTGGGGGCGGGATCTCGTAACGAGAGGGGAAAGACATGGGGGGTCCGGGTTTTGAAAAAAATACCTTAAAAAGTATAAGATTTAGTGGTTCTAGACCGACAATTTATATGTAAAGAAATATTAGCTTGAACTACTGGAAATGCAAATATTTCAAAGAAAAACAATATTTTGCCAATCGCAGTCATTTATAGAAAATCAAGGAATTACCTGTTTGGGAAAATTATATCGCAAAATGCAGGGAATGAAACATACAACTCTGGAATTATGAATCAATACTACATAATTACTAAAGCCCTTTTGGATATTACATCAAAATTTCAAAATTAATATACCTACTATTTACTCGTAATTTTTGTCGTTTGCTTTATTTAAAAGAACATTTATTAGAAACTCAAACTAAAATTGAATGAGCGAGGTACATTTTTTGTGAAAATACAAATAAAATATTGCCTTGTTAAAGAAACTGGTAAACGCAGAAGAGTAGTACTTCTTGAACTCGAAAAGCACTGGTTGATACCTACTTCATTTACTGACCAACTCCGCTGAATTAGGTAAGCATTTTTGTGTCATTTTGTTCTCCCCCCCCCCCCCCCCTAATCCGTCACTGAGCAGGAGTAACCATAAAATGCTCTTGAAGGGTTACAACTGATCGTAACTTTTGAAATTGTTCATTCATTTTCCTTTTTAGCGCATTTCCACAAAAATAAAATAAAAATGCGCTATTGTGGCCACTTTGTCCGTCCGTCCGCTCGTTCGTTGAGGCGCTCTAGTTCTTCATCTTAAGAGCTATTGTTCTACTTTTTTCGCTATTTGGTTCGTTATGGTGTCGAGGTTTGCACCAAGGAAGAAAGTTTTTCTGCGTTTATTGCTAAAAAAGTTATTGTAAAAAAACCAAAAAACCGTTTTTTACATGTTCCATAATTTTACACTTTTTCCGTTTATTAACGATCCTAGAGATCGTTTATGATTTTGTATTGCTGTCTGTCGTCTGTCTGTTGGTCTGTTCCTTTGTCTGTCTGTCCATGTATCTGTCCGTGTGAACGATCTTTGTTTAGAAATGTCGGATCACTTTGACATCTCCGTTAGTTATGAACTGAATTGCATGAAATTCAATATGGGCATAGCTTCAGTCATATAATACGCAATGCCAAAAGTTGAGTCGAATCAATTCAAAATTCACAGGTGCCCTTTTCGCATCTCGACCATTTATAAGCCGAATTGCACACTTTTTTATTTAGTAAGTATTTAAACGAAATTTATACATAGGCAACCAGCCAAACGCCAGTTTCAAAATTTGGTTTTGCGCATGCGCAGTGTCAAGTTTTTTTGTTTATGGAGGCATTTAAACGAAATTTGATACATAGGCGCTTGGAATAAAGGAAAATCAAACGTCAGTTTCAAAATTTGGATTTGCGCATGCGCAATGCCAACTTTTTAATTTATGGACACATTTAAACGAAATTTGATACATAGCCACTTGGAACAAAGGAAAATCTAACGTTAGTTTCAAAATTTAGGTTTGCGTATGCGCAGTGCCAGCTTTCCTATTTATGAAAGCATTGAAATTAAATTCTTCTTATAAACTGAAATTGAAGTAGCACGTCAAAAATGGATTGCACATATGCAACGCTATCTTTGATATTTGTGGCCGGATTTTTACGAGTTTAACAGAAGTTGCATCTTACAAATCACTAATGGGAATTGAATGCAAGTGAAAATGCGCTTTTTGTAAATCGTTTACGATTACTTTTTTACTTGTTTATAAATTTGTCAATATTTACTTTTGAAATCAGAAAAAAAAAGATCTTTTCAGTTTTTGAAAAATATACAAGGCGTTTCATAAAAAATTTCCCAAACTTGCTTTGCGATATTGAGTTCTGTTTTTACTTTACATTTTCTGGCGATTTATGATAAACCCCACAACGGTTGTATTTAAAGTATTTTTCTATCTTTTATAATAAAAGCGCTGTCTAAATACAGGGTGTCTTAAATTGAGTAGGATAACATGGCTAACTTTGTTATTATTATACCTACAGATTTGGTTAAATTGGCAAAGTTGTGTAGCTTTTAGATGCTAATGGATATTCTGATGTGATATTTTGAAAAAAATAAATCGTTTCGTAGATAATTGGAAAAAAGTAAAAGTTCAAATATTTTAGTAACAAAAAGAGCTATCAAAAAAAGTTTCAAATAAAAGTTGCAAGATTCGATGGGCTCAAATCAATGGGTGTAGAACAAAAATTTTAAAAATGGCGGTTTTCGAGATAATGACATCAACTTCCTTATTTTAAATGGACGCCATATTGGATTTTTACGTCACTCGAAAAAAATTACAAAGCCAGTGATAGTCTTTCATTTGGGACTCAACCTTGCATTTTTGCGCCTCGAAGTTTACAATGTAACTCTTGCGGTAATAATTCCATGCCAGTGTCAATAGTGACTATGCGAGACAATAAACGAACGAATTTGGTTTCAATCACAATTCACAATCAGGCATGGAATTATGGCCATAAGAAATACATTGTAAACTTCAAGGCAAAAATGCAAAGTTGATTCCCAAATGAAATACTAAGTGTTTAGTATCACTGATTTTGTAATTTTTTGTGTATTGAGTGACGTAAAAATTCAAAATGGCGTCTATTTAAAAAGGACGTTGATGTCAATATCTCGAAAACCGCCTTTTTGAAAAAACATTTTTTACGTCCATTGAATTTATTCCATCGAATCTTGCAACTTTTATTTGGACTTTATAAAAATTGCGGTTTTCACTTTTTTCCACTTATTTACGAAACGAATTATTTTTTTCAAAATATCGCATCGGAATATCCATCAGCATCAAAAACTACACAACTTTGCCAATTTAACCGAATAAGTAAGTCTAATAATAACAGCCATGTTATCCTACTGAATGTAAGACACCCTGTATATCTCTCAAATGATTAAAGTTAGAACAAAACCTGTACGTTTTTTGTAGGAAATTTACTGAGCTTTCATTTCTAAATATGAGTGGTTGTGAAAAGGTTGATATTGATATTGAGGAAAAACCGAAAAAAGTAACATCAAATTCAAAATGGCGGCATGTTGTGCTGCACACCCCTAGATATAAGGGTGTTTGGATATGTTCCTGAGGACGGTCCAAAGAACATTTTAGGCCAAATTTCAAAATTAAAAGTTTTTTTATTTTTATTTGGTGAATTTGTTAATACTGGGCTACTGCTACTAACAAATTTTCTTCCAATTTTGTTTTTGTATGCGGTACAGCGTTGTATTCGTAATAAAAAATGCTTTTTTTACGGGCCATATAAAAAATAATTTAAGTCTAAAGTTTGAACTAGTGAGTTAGTCCGTAGCCTACCGATAGAACTAGCCGTGACACTCATCCCCACTATTGCGTTGACGTCACAACTGACGGCGGCCGTCATATCGACTTTTAATGTAATTAATTCCAAGTAGTTTAATGTTGTACACTTAAATTAACTGTATTCGAACAGAATAAGTAAGAAAATCCCAAATACGTGCTGCGTCTGCGTCCCTGGTTGCAAAAGCAATTATAGTTCAAGAGACAAGGTTCCTTACGGTTTTTCGTTTTTCGAAAAATGAAGACGATCAAAAAAGTGGTTAAGATGTATTCACCGGGACAATTTTGAAATTACTAGTTACTCCAGGGTTTGTATAAATGTAAATGATGAGTAACGGGAAAATATAGACGTTTGCAACTACAAATGACCGAAAACCTGTAGTCTCTAGGTGGTCCAGGGGCCGAGATCTCGATGGAACAGACAGATAGGCAGACGACGGAATAACGAGCACATAAGCGTTACCTCAACTTCGTTTTGTTATGCTAAAAAAGGCAGATGTGTGTATTAGAATGTTTAAATTTTATTTGTTTTCAGCTCAGTTTTCAGTGAGTATTTGTTGTTTATGTACGTATCTAATAAAATTTTTGCATAATAACACGTGTCTATAGTTAGGAAACAACATATAACAATCCTGCGGCTCAAAATAAGTAATTACTAAATGTTTTCGCGTTAAATGAGTACGCACGCGAATCAAATTGCATTTAAACACATAGTATCGCGTTGCAGTGGCCCATCTCCAGTTGTGACGTCACTAAATCAATGTCACGGCTGGATCTATCGGTAGGCTACGGTTAGTCCTACGATTGAGGAAGTCGCTGGGTCGAATTTGACTTTTAACATGGGAGTTTTGTAAGCATATAAGTTGACGTAGGTCGAAACTCTGCCTAACAATAGTAAAAGACTAGTGAAACAAAAATCGGTTTGCACAATGTTTTTTTTAATTACCTGTAGTATTTTATCATGTGATACTGATAATATGTGAATACTCAATGTTCACTACTATTTGGCAGTTACGAAAGCGACCATTATCTACCAATTGGGTATAGAACGCCAGACAGTCTGATGTCTACTGGCTCCAGTAACTACCCGGGATGGAAGTTACCTGAGAAGCTACAGATAGTTAAGCCATTGGAAGGTTCGCAAACTCTTCATCATTGGTCGCAGTTGGCTCAACCTACATTTAGTGGATTATTAGAGGAACGGCCAGGTGTTAAAATACGGTAAGTGGCTCTTCTTTTGTAGTTGACGGTAAATCTATTACTTGCATCCTTCACCCCATCTTATTCGAGTAGACTCATATAACCAATAATAATTAAAGGCGTGTTTATAACCACATTCTTATTTCATTAGCGGTGGAAAAGAACTGGAAGACATGGGCCTAGAATCTTACGCCTTAAGCGACTTAGAAGAGGACGACGAATACTCAAATCCGGGTAAAGGGTTCGACTCATCCACTCCCATTTATACGTTAACCAACAGTACGGTAATGCACCCTGACGATGGTACCTTCAACGTGACTAGCGTCTGCGGAAGTTGCGTACCTTCCGTATGTTCTAGTATCCAGAACTCGCCTCCACAAACGCCGAACATGCGTAGTCGTAGAAACTCAACGAGTACTTTTTCGACAACTTTTGGTCTCGCGAGGATGCTTAACGAGAGAGGTAGTTAATTTCGCCTTTGAATTGGCGCGTTTAATTGAAACAATATTGTAGGTATAAAAGCCGTAACCCCATCAGCGATTAATACACCGTGCGATGTAAATAGTTTCACTCCTACTGCAACGCCTTGCAATAGTCCAGATAGTAGTCCTCCGCTAACGCGTAGCGGCTCCCCCGAACCATACGAAGCATTTAGCATACCTCAACTGATACTTAGCTCCGTTCCATTTCTACAGCAAACTGTTACGGGAGGCGTCAAGAAGAAAAGTAGTGCGAGCAAACAACAAGGAAAGTCGGAGGTAAGCATCTGCACTTACTTTTACCTGTCTGCATAACGGTTGATTTCAGAGCATCGTTAGTAAAATTGAACGTATAGGAATTTCAAATTTGATGAGTACGCCAGGAGGATTATCTATTTCGTCGGGAATGTACGCACGGCCGGCATTAACAAGTCCAATGGCGCAACTAACCTGTCTACTTCCGAACCAGAGTAATGAAGAAGTGAGGCATAGTGAAACGAAGAAACAACTTAAGAGCCCAATACAGTCACCCTCAACAGGTGAGTTATAAATTTCTAATAAATAGATCACGAATAGTTTGATTGGGAGTCTTAAGATCTTTGAGCATTTACCAATTGTGTATATATACCGAGACATATACAGTGTGTCCCAAATCGCAAGGGATTGCTTGGGTAACTTTCTTATTATTATAGATAGAGAATTGGTTAAATGGACAATGTTTTGCAGTTTTAGATGCTTATTTAAAATTTCTTTGTGGAAATTCAAAATTTGAATAGGTTTGACGTGAATTCGAAAAAACTAAAATTGGTCATTTCTTTTAATGTCTTATCGAACGTATAAGAGATATATAAAAAAAGTTTTATATAATAGTGACTGTCTTTGATACGCTTCATTTAGAATTGATGTTTAAAAAAAATGCAAGATGGCTACTTTTGAGGAACATTTACCAACTTCCCTAAAGTTAAATAGGCGCCGAAAGTCGGGTGTTCGAACCTGGGTTGAGGTGAATTTTTCATCTGTGGCGGAGATGGAAATTACCTTAGGCCAGTTCCGAGCATTCTACCGGCTACTCCGAATTAGGTTTTGCTGCAGTTTTCCTAATTCGTAAGGTACCGGAGTAGTATAGACCATCTTAAGACCTTCTGCAGAGGCACCTCTAAATAGCATTATGCGGGTCACTCTGTAATTGGGCGTATGCCTGTTGAGGGCCCAAAACAAGAGAGGGATAATAAAATAAAATAAAATAAAAATAAAATAAAATAAGATACCAGTTATATCAACGGTTTTTATATTTTAATAAAGTAGTCTGGGATGAATTAAAAAAAACAAAAGAAAATCTATTGGACGCAACAAAACAATGAAAATAATTACATCAGATGTTTAAAATACTGGCCATTATTAGTGAAACACATTTCAAAACAGTTTATTTTAGTTAGGCAACGTGTTGCCATTGATGCTATAACACGCCTTTAGAACGCCTTCGCGCAGTTGTGTACGTTATTATTATTATTATAGTTATAGCTACTGCCATATACTTTATTCTTTAATGTACAATGTACAGACCTGGGCAGCCAGCTTAATTGTACCTACCCTTTCTGCGAACCATACGTTGTCTAGAAAATCCTTTAGGGAAGTTTATTGGAGAATTTGTAAATAATGGTGAGCAGTTAAAGTTCCATCGAAGATTACCGGTCCAATTACATGACTTTCCATTATGTCATAAAATACATTAATTTAAAACCTTGCTTGATTTCGGCGTGAAACTACCTACGACATGTAGGTTTTCCTGTGACTAGTAATGTTCATTATGTCGATTTGAACACTCCACAGTTAGAAAAATAAGACTCATCTGTCCATATACTCGGACTCGTAAAACTGCAGTTAGATTCGATATTCTTACGGATAAACCACCTACAAAATGTGACCTGGGACAATGCATCAATGATAACACATTGTGTAAAGTAAATCAAATTGTCTTGAAATGTGTTTAACTGGATAATGGCATGACATTTTGTCGAGGGGATAGTTTGTACTTATACCACCATTTTGTAGGTATGTAAGTCAATAAATGACGTCATAAAAGTCAAAATTTTTCTGGGCCTACTTATATAAAATTTTGGAGGGAGTTGTAACGGCCAAACCCCCCTCCCATGAGTGCGCCCCTGATATTTTAAACATCTGATGTAATTATTTTTATTGTTTTGTTTCCTCGAATAGATTTTGTTTTTTTTTAATTCATCACAGACTACTTGATTCAAATATAACAACCGTTGATATAACTGGTATCTTATTTTCAATCTTATGCTATGATAGCTGATAATAATAATAATAATAGAGATTTATTGCCCAACAGAACAGACCTTCCAATTACAGGACAATACATAATAGTTAACGCGCAATGATTTAATGTAATAAGAAAAAAAAAAGAAAAAGAAAGAAACACAACAAAAAACTCAAAATCTTAACATAACTAAACAACAACAAAATAATTAAATTCATATTTAAAAAAAAAACCAAATTAAATTGTCGACAAACTGCAAGTTACATTCTATGCATATAAAATAAAGAGAGCAGTAACGTGACATTTTCACTGTGACATGTAACTACGAAGCACGGCTGATATTTGAGATAAAGTGTCATGGTGAATGTCGCACAAACTGGAAATGTTATTAAAACTGTGACACATCTGCTGGATAGGTGTCCTCTTCAGTAAACTGGTGCGCGCCTTCTCACAGTAAAATGTGTCTACGTGACGAGTGTGGTACTTCGGAACCAGAAATTTTAATGAAGAAAGCAATCCTATGCAGTCCACTTCATTATGCAATAACTTGTATAGCAGCCGTAGTCCCATGATGGTTCTTCGATCTTCCAAGGTTTGAAACTGGAAACGCTCCGTTAATAACCTATTGTCACATCCTTGTGGAGGATAGACCCCATCGCACCTGAATGACATAAATTTCAGGAATCTTCTTTGTACTGACTCAATCTCAATTTTTAAATATTTATAAATCGGGTTCCAAATGATAGAAGCGTATTCAAGTTTGGAGCGAACATAAGTGACGTAAAGTAATTTTGATACATCAACTGTACTAAAAGGCTTAGTGTTACGAATTATAAAACCAAGCATTCTCATGGATTCACGTCTAATGTTAGAGATGTGGTCATTAAAGTTTAAGTGGTGATCAAACGTAATGCCTAAGTCAACCGTACTAGTATGTCGTCTCAGTGTAACATCGCCACATGTGTAGTTGTATGTAATGGGTAGCCTCTTCCTCGTAAATGTAATAACTTTACATTTAGATGAGTTTAAGCGCAGACAATTAGTATTGCACCAATCTTGTATAATGTTCAGTTGAGTTTGCAAAAATTCGCAGTCTTCCATGTTACTAATACGTGAGAAAATTTTTAGGTCGTCGGCAAATAGTAGATGGTGACAGTTTATATAATTTGATAAATCGTTAATAAAAAGCATAAAAAGTAGAGGTCCAAGGTTAGAACCTTGCGGCACACCTGATGTAGCGACAAACGTTTTTGACCGAGAATTCTCGACCTCCACATACTGGACTCTATCACATAAATAAGAACGGAAAAAGTACAACAGATTGATATGTAAACCACAGTCACTTAACTTGCTCAGGATTAGGGATTGTTTAATCGTGTCGAATGCTTTCGCAGCAGCGGTAACTTATTTAACAGTATTTTTTCCTTTTGCTCAGCCTACGTGTGGCAACCTATTAAATTAAAAAAAAACACAGCCTTCTCTGAGATCTCAAACTCTCAGACGGACGAACGGACGGAATTCATGCAGATATAAGCTATATTTGGAAACTTTAAATTCCGTGAATGTGTAATTTTTATTCGTAGATAAATTTATTTATGGTGGATGTGTAAACTGCTGATTTGGAATGTAGTATGTTCTTCGTGTACCAAAAATCAAGGAAAACACATAAATTTTACGTAATTTGATTTCACATCTGGTGATTTGACGTTGACGTCTTGGCGAACTGCCAACTTAGAGATGAAAAGTTACCAAAAACAATGTTACAATGGAACTCATTGAAACACTGTTTTTGCCGAAAACAGTTGCACAAAATTCTCATTGTAACACCGAAATAGAAAAAATATTGTATATAACGCTAGCGCGAAGTTATTTCGCGCATTTGACTGATATTTTAACTCGGCTTTGCCTCGTCAAAATACCTTCAGTCTCAATGCGCGAAATTGAACTTTGCGCTCTTGTTATATAAATAACTATTTTTGTTGACCGGTCGACCATTTTTTTAAAATTTATCGATTGACTATCCATTAATCGATAATTATCGATAAGTTATCGATTAACCATTGAGAACAAATTTCAAAGGTCAGAATTTAAAAGAAAAGAGGTTAACGACCTTTTTATTTTGTATCAAAATTGCCAGGTGTGACGTGTGATCCTAGATCAGGGGTCGGCAACCTGCGGCTCTTTTGATACCTATAAAGTTGCGGCTCTCCGTATTTATCTAAAGAAATTGGTTCATTTGTTCGAAATTCGCCTTTTTAATTAATCTTATTTTGTATCAAAAGTATACTTGCAGCAAATAATTATCTAATTTTTGACACTTGTTTACTTTCTGGTATTCTTTTGTTTTTTTTATTATAGCCAGCCTACTCCGATGTATAAACACGTAATTAATTAATGAGTAGGTACTTTTGTGAAAAATATTGAATAACCTAAACACTGCGGAGTTTAAGCACAGGGCACCCCTTATAAACATTTAAGAGAAGACAAAAGCGAATAGCGAAATAAAATAGTGGTAGTTCCATTTGAAAAAGAATAGTTATAGCACTTTGAACAAACGGCATTGAAACAACCAAATATTCAGGATGTTCTATTTAAAAAGATCAGTTATTAATTGACATCGTAAAAATGGAACACCCTGTACATTCAAAAATAATTTCTGTAGATCCGCAACCACCAATATTTTTACCAGGTATCTATCAGCTATGTAGGAAAAACCGACGGACTGTTGCAGGACCCTGTATATAGCCAAAAACTATAATATTCAATCAAAAATTATTTGTGGCTCTTTAAGAACTGGGAAATTTTGTAAATTGTAATTTTTGTCTCTTCCGTTTCAATAGGTTGCCGACCCCTGTGTTAGGTAGTTTATCCGGTGGCAACGGTTTAACCGACACACACAAAAATTAAGAATAGATAGGTAGGTACATTTAATTTCTGTTACAGTGATCAAGGATGCCTGCGTATTTTTTGCTTTCCTGTTCAAATGTAATTCAATCTTCCTTAAGGAATGTTAAGTAGGTCACGATTCATGAAAGGAAGAATGTTTATCTTACGTCATTCAACATCCTGTGTGCCACATAAATGCCTTATAAGTACGTTTCTTGGGTATCTAGAATTCTGTATACAACAATTACAAATCGAGATAGTGGGTTCATTACAGATTCCTGTATAATAATTAACAAAGGTAAAAAACTGACATTATTATTCATCTTTCTCGATGGTAGAGACATCTACGTCTTGTAATTTAAACTATTAAAAACAGTCACATATCCTGCCATTTAACCCCGCGCTTCTGATAGTTATAAATTTAATGGTATAACCATAACCTAAATTTTATTTTGTACTGTACCCACCGTGATCTTCAGTACGTAGAAACTACTATCAGATGTTCACTGTGAAGAACGTGATAGGCGAACACTGTTAAATTTGCTCTTAAATTTAAACGTAAACAATATAACAAACATAACCTTACTTTTGTTAAAAAACGGGCCAACGGAAACGTAAATGTTCAACTTCCAACTTTTCCGTCGTAAATGGACGACGTACGATTTAAAAGTTTACTGTGTTCTGATTGGCTAACGGACAAACGGAAACGTATGAACGGAGAGCTATGAACCCACCTTTAGATGCAGTTACACATGCCTCTTAAAACATCAAATCCGACAAACGTCATACCCTCGCGCAATGTTGTCGGCTCACTTCTACGTGATTGGTTGTAGGTTTGTGACGTATTTAGACTGAAGCGTTTCAAATTCGGACTAAAAACACAGCTTTTCAATAATTTATTTTGGGTTTATTTGACTCGCAAATAAAAATTGAGGACACACGGGTCTTTTTATTTTTATTTTACTTTGTAGATCAGAAATAAAAAATGAAGGCTGGATGCCACCATTGATAACAGATAAAGACCAATGCAAAGTTCTCGGAAATTTCTACGTTAAATAAAATAAAAAGGTAAACAAAAACAACCTTGACTGCTTTCTGGTATGACAATAATTTCATAGACCAATGACAAATTAATAATTTTTAATTACAAATGTTAATTACACAAAAGGAGTAGACCGCCCTTGTCCATCTTAATTAGGATTTCCGAAATTTGCATCCTGCCAGACGAAATAAACACAGCAATATGAAGCTATAAAGTTGGCTGTAACGCAAAAAAAAGACATTGGGTACATTCAGCCGACACAACTGTTGAGTATGTTGAGACGTTGAGTTACCTGAACGATGAATGGTGATTTCTGGTGGAAGTCTACGGTTGGTAATAATTGGCACCACAAATTTGTGGTGTCAACAGAACCGTTCCGGCATATGTTGACGTTTGCTACTAAAACACGTTTACGGTGTTAGTCAACAGTTGCATCGGCTGAACGTGCGCAAAGACTTTACATAACAGAACATGTTAGGTTATGATATTACGCCAAATTTGTGGTGCGAATTATTACCAACTGTTGACTTCCACCAGAAGTCACCATTCATCGTTCAGGTAAGTCAACGTCTCAACACACTCAACAGTTGTCGGCTGTACGTACCCATTATGTTCATTGGTTCTCAGAAGTGGCTGTTTAAATATCCTTTAAAAACGTTAAACAATATACAATTAAACAAAATTTTCTAATTAGAAGTCAAACTCAAGTCGACATCTCTTTTCAGTGATGTAGTATTTATTGTTGGATATGGTATCTTGGTAGCGGTGCTGTAGCGCTACAGCAAGGAAATTAGGTGTCTGTGTGCAACAAAATACTAGCGGCTCCTACTCCTAGGTGATTTTGCAGAGCAATGAAATAGTTTTCAGAACACTTCATATCCCTAAGAATAAGATAGGTCAGTTCATACATATTGCTGTGTCTCAACGTTGCCTGCCAAATAAATCATGCTGTGTGCAATAGTGTGCTGTCACTGCACCATCCACAAAACACCTGACCAGCTAGCTCAATCAAAATTTAAAACTTATTATTTGTATGATCTCTTTTCGTACATCTCCAGGATTTGCTACAAAACAAAGTCCTATTAATGACTCGTAATTAGTAATTTAGAAGACTCAGTAGCCTCAACCAACTTCCAACACAAATTTAAGATTAAATCTTGGGCATAAATAAAAACTTGAACATGAGACTCTATCTGGATCGTAAAATGGATTCAAACAAACACACAATTAATTATTTGACAATGACAACATAATTTATTTCGAAACTCAAGCGACTGAAGAAAAACCTGAAATAAAGAGGGGCACAAACCCATCACATTCACTCCACACCTCGCTCCACACGCAGGTGGTCGACATAACTAAACAAAGTAAATCTTAAAATTAAGGCGCGTTTACACGTATCCAATAGCTGGCGCTAGTTCACTGGCCGCAATTCTTGGCTGTCCATTGCATAAGCATTTCTGTTCTCTGTATATTTCAACAAGCTTAGAAGTTTTCACAATACTTTAACTTAATTGCATCTGCACAGATTATTTGAATATCGACGAAACTGCGTTTTTAAATAAACTGAAAAGCTAACCACTTCATGAATTTAGCGTACAAGACGTACACGCTCTTTAACCCGTTGTGACTTGAACAATGGTACGGCTACTCCATCTTCACCTGAACAGAGCAATGAATAAACCAAGAAGCTGTAGGTGGACCAACGGGCGCAGGAACGACATCAAAGAGGCTAGAGTAAAAAGTATTGCTCAAGAGAGTCAAGGCGAATTCAAGATTCCGGGGTAGTATAGACCAATGTGGTGGTAGCTAAGAGAGTGAAGTGGGTCCAACAAGTCACACCTAGCAGTCTATGAACCTAAGAAAGCAGCAATAAACTGCAGGGTAAGAAAGATAATTTCAAATAGATGTTGGCGGAGGAAGTCAGTATGATCTCATAGCATAAAGAGCTCAGTTTCAAGTATTGCCTAAGACTGGATTTGAGATTCTTAAGAGCCAAGCTCCAGAAGATGTAGGTGACGCCTAAGGAACTAAAGTGGTATCATAAATAAAGCTCCAGGAGACGTATAAGAAATGGTGTTGGTGTCTAAGAGAACGAAGTGGTACAGATCAGGATGCCGTAGGGAAAGAGGCCGAAAAGTTGCAGAAGGTATCAATGAATCCAGGATTCTTTTTTTGACCCTCAAAGTATATTATAAATGTGGTCAACTAAATATGGAATTGTCTTACTCTTTGCATGCAGAAACCCAAAACACCAACACTCGATAACTTGTAAGGTCTGCTTTAAAAGTACCATAAGGTCCATGATTGATCTTACCCTTTCACGAACTTTTTCATACCAAACATGGCGGACTTTGTAGTACTTTATATATCTAGGGACTTTTACTGTGCTCTGTCTATATCTCTTTAAGTTGAAAAAGGTTAGAGGACCCTCTTATTATAACTTGCACCACTGAACAATGCACAAAATAAAAATAATAATTCTATTTGTTTCAGGTCAACCTCCACCCGACTTGGGCGTTCCAGGCAGGCCGGGAAGCGATGCGCTAAAACGCCGCTTAGAACAATTAAACTCTCGCAAACAGCGACGCAGCGGCGGCGCGCAACGCTCCGATCTCGGCACTGTATCAACAAAAAAACTACCACAACCGGAACAAACGTCAACACTAGGTACACTTAGCTCGCTACTGTTCGGTCGGAAAGGAGGTCTACTTTAAAGAGGCGAGAACTTTGATTAGCAGCTGACTTTATACTGTGATAGAAGATTAGTGTGGTTGTTATTAAGTGGTGATGCCATATGTTATTATTAAGCACGATTAGTTAGGTTCAAATCGAATAACCGCAATTGGTTACCAAGGCAAGGATTTTGTGAAACCATCATTTTTTATGTAGAATTGTATATAAGCAGTATTTTTATTTATATTTAGGTATAAGAATATACATTGAAGCAAACAGTTAATCCAGTACAGTTTTCTGCTTTAGTGCAAGACCGACAAAATGGTGCTATTTCACATTTACTCTTTTAATACTTGTACTTATTTTCAGAACATGATTTTGCAGTTTAGCAAACCATGAACAACTTGACTGTTTTGCTCTGGACTTTCTTCAAATATGATTGATCGGCATACGCAGGTTGTTTCCAAGATTGTAATGGTGGCTTATTCTGAACTCAAATATAATGTCGCTTGAAATGTTTACCTAAGAATTTAATGGAGAAATTTAGAAAATTCGTTCGCATTTCCTTTTTTAGTGTGGTAAAGAGGTAGAAAATTATCCACCCTTGTAGCTCACGACAAGTTCATAAATGAAATCAAATCAGAAAGTATTCAGAAATGGAATGTTGCAATTTTAAGAGCTGGTTGAACCATTGTGATAGAAGGAGTCTGGTACAGACGGGTCAATGTTCAGGTAATTCAGAATCTGACCACAGTTGCATAGTGTCACTGAGAGTGCAAACGGTATATAAAAAATGTGTAGCACCAAAATGAAATATATTGTTGATTTTAAAAGGAATATATTTTGATAGGTACCCCAAAAGGTGCGCCATGAAACTGAGATCATTTTGCTGTTCGTTTTAGTACACAAATGCAAAGCTATGCAATAAATTTAGAAATCCAAACCTATTGTGTACGTGGTTCTAGGTAAAGGTTCAGTGCGATGAATATTTTCCTAGGATATTGGCCTAGTTTGGTGTTAGGTTATGTGCTACACAAATGCGTTCCCCGTGGACTAAGGAATTTTAATGAAAGATGCTTAATAAATTAGTTATAGCAACCTACTGTAGTACGAAGGGTGAAGATTCTGATTCTGATTTTAGCTAATAAAAACAGAAAAAGGTGTAGAGAAGAATTATTTTATTTTTTGACAATGAAGAGCAGTCTACATAAAAATTGATATGGACAAAAGGAGATAACTGTACTAACATTTATATCATGGATTAACCATAAGGCTCTAGTATGGGACTAGTCATTTTAAATTGCACTTGTTGATCTTTAAAAACGTATTACTTCCAAATGTAATCATCGTGCATGCAATGAATTTTTTCCAAATTTTTATAATATAAAATGGCTTTCCTTGTACGATTTTTGTACTTATCTAAATTGGTACAGCGCTGTACGTAGGATAATACTCGATAAATAAATAGGTTCCCTAGTGGTGACTGATCTACTGTGAGTTTGGAAACAAAGAGAGTTAAATATTTATTTTTAGACGATGTAAATTAGATTAACGTAGGCGGAAAGGTAGATATGACACTTTTTCATCATCGTTCACCCCACCTGCAAATTTGTTCATCCCATATTTGTCAAATAAATTTTGACTGTTTATTAAATTTGTGCAGGTATAAAACTTAAAGCACAGGGTATTGATGAATATCGACCCAACCCTCTGTGTATGGGAAATCATACTTTCCAAAATGCTTCAAATGCGATAGCCAAATTTTCCTTTACTTTCTATCATTGAAGCAATATTTTTGGGCAAAGCGCTATTCTTTATACAACTAGTAACCAGAAAAATTTGTTAAGGGGTTGGTATCGCCATATGGCACTTATTTAAAGTACACATTTTATCATACAATGGTTTGGAAATGTCATGATCGGCAAATTACACTGGTATATGAGATTTGCTAATTTTTATTGTATTCAACACAGCTAAACATCTAATCTGACCATATCAGTAATTATGATTTCATGATAATAGAAAGTTCATTTGGTTTTATCAATCCCCAATTTACTCACTGTTGAGGATTGGCAGTGATCGTTTCTTGACAGTAGCATTTCCTCATTTTATAAAAATGGACTTTTTTTCTTTTTGTAGTTTATAAAACAGCTTTGATTACAATAATTAAATGAAAGATAGTGAGTTTTATTTTTCATAATCCATTCCAGATATTAATACAGGGTGTCCAAAGACTAGATGAGTGAGTTTTGACTCCACCATGAATAAGATCTTGGTCGAAGGTTACCACATTCCCTTGGTCGATACTAGTGCTGAGCAATAAATTAAATTGTTATCGATAAGTCTTGATAACTATCGATTAACTTTTCATAATTATCGCTAACTTTTGATAATAATCAATAATGATCGTTAATTGTCGATAATAATAGATTATTATTGACATCTGTTGAAAATTGTCGATCTCTGAATGTTATCGATTAATCGAATAGCGATAATTATCGAGAGAAAATTATAGATACTTTTTCATAAATCCTATCGATATAAATATATTCTCAGTGCATACATTTTTGGTATTGATATTGATAATTTAAACAAAAACGGGATGTTTTGAAAAATATTAAAACAACTAGGTATTCCGTAGTTTTCTGAAATCAAAGGTGATCCACTAGACAGTAATCCTCAAAAATTTGGTACGTCCTTCAATAACCACAAAATTATTAGTTTTCAACAGAAACAGTAATTAAACATAATAGTATCTAATTCACGTCAACCAGCCTAAAGTAGATTGTGAATTGTGATCATATTTTATAAGTGTCATGCCAACTCCGGAATACTCTTACTTGATCGCTTTTGAGATAAATCGATGTAAGATTATCGATTTATCGACCAATCCTTTAAAATCACAATTAATCGATACATTTTTCAATAATTTTCGATAAATTATCGAATAGTAGACCATTTTTTAAAATTAATCCACTATCTATTAAACGATATTAACGATAAGTTATCGATTAATCGTTTTTTTGGAAAGCACTACTTTTAATTTACTAGATTTATCGATTAATCGATACATTTTTTTTTAATTTATCGGTCGTCGATTAACTAGTTATTAATAAGTTTTTTTGCACAGCACTAGTCCGTACCCACTTCCAAGATCCCATTCCCCCCCATTTGCGTTTGAAGTTTTGACTAGACGATCAGTGAGATTTACATGGACTACTAGCTACTACAACCACATTCCCTTTGTCGGTACCTATTTCCGACGTCCCATTCACCCGCAATTCGAATTTTGGTGGATTTCCCTATAAACCCTCCACAAAATAGTAAATTTTTGGGGCACTTCTCTTCTCATAGCTCAAACTTCTATTGGCGACAGGAGAAAAAGAGACAGCGATTCGAGCTCTAAGAAACTTATGAGCGCCCAAAGTCGACGACCTCGATTTTGTTTTTTTTTTTAAATATTAAAAGCTGCCTTTTCACAAATACATTTGCAAAAATGCGCCAAAAAATTTTTTGCACTCCTTCGTTCTAAATCGCGTTTTCCCAATAAAACACGAAAGTCGGGAACGTCATTTTTACAATTAATTAATTAAAATATCTACTTTCGCGCACTAGTGCCTAAAAATTCAACGAAATTATCTATTTAGTGCGGATCATAAACTAATAAGTAGTCTGATGGAAGAGTAAAAAAGAAAATATAAATACACTTTACATCATTCCCTGTAGTACAGAGGCAAAAATAAGCTTAAAGTAGTTAGAGCGCCTAGGTAAAAGTAACAAGAAGTTGGTGAAAATTTGGTCACTTATTCTCTGAAAGATGCACTTCCTAATGGTCAAAAGAAAAAAGTGTTCCTATGTGCCGTTTGTGAGATATTTGACAGTAAAAACAGGGTATTTTAACATGGGCTCTTATGGACAGACTCAGTTTTTCTGAGCTAGCGAAGGTTTTTGTATCAAGACTTAAATGAGATGGGTCTCATTAGAAGCGAAATTTTGTGACGAATCTAAATATGCACGGAAAAGTACATGTTCATGATGAAATAAGGAAGATATTTACCGCCGAAGCGGCGTCTGCTCTGACGCGGCGGCACGCTATGCAGCACGCGTTTAAATTTCATGACTTTTCCACTAGGTCTAGTATATAGCTGAGCTAGGACAATCTTTTCCTTCTTCTGCTGAGCACTTTTCTTCACAAAACGCATGGTGTCTTTCAGAAAGAACACCAAAACCACGTCTTTTTGACACACTGATCGGATCGAGATCAAGATAGCGGCTGGGGATCTCTGGCGCCAACATCGAAAAACCAAATCCACTACACCGATTTCACATAAAACGCCAAATTATTTAGTTTCCCGGCTTTTACATACGTCTCGCATACGTTTTGATTAAAAATAAACATATTCGTTTAGTTAGGATTTACCGTTTACACTGTGAATATTTAGTCGCGGTGTGTCGTCAACATTTAGTGTGCAAAAGTTTGAAACAGGGTCGAAAAGTAGGGAGACTAGTCAAGTTGACTACTTTATATACCTTTTTAAAAATCATGTATGACGTTTGCATTGTGCTGAGGTACAAAATACCACTCATACCGTATTTCTAATTATGTTTCCTTCATAACAACATTTTTTTGGGGACATTTACCGTAAGGAATAGGTAGGCCGAGTACATTGCTTGACTTCAGCCGAACGCGCTCTAACTACTTTAAACCAGAAATTTTGAACAATAAATTGACATTTTAAATTTCTAGATTTCTACTTATCGGCATAGAGGACTTGATTTTTTCAAAAGAATTATAATGTCGCAAAAAAAAGGATTTGAATTTATATACATTCGATTTAACTAATCCGTGCAAAAAATAGAATACATGTTACGTGCGTGAACAGTATTTGCTTGATTCGCGCGAGATGCGTCGCTCGTGCGCGTTGCGCACTCGCGCCGCCAAACTTCGCGCTCATCTGCAAAATAACTGTTCCCGCACTAACAATGTAAATAACTATTCTATATACTGCGAACTTAGTGGACAAACTGTATAAGGATGTACAGTTTTAGACAAACGTAATTATAGATTAAAAACAGGTTTTGCGAACTATATGGGTCTAAGTAAGCAGGTACCAAGATTCTAAGAAAGGGTGAAATACACAGGATGTGACTCGTCTTTGGTGCAATAAAGTCCTTTTTTTAAAAGCAAGATGGAAAATTACATGGCCTTGTAGGCAAATTTAATTAAAACAAAATATGTGAAAATTACGAATCATAACTCATTTATCGCACATAGATTCTAAACTGAAGAGCTTTGATTAGTGTAATCCCGCTCCTGCAAGATAGGTAACCCGTCCCTGGTTTCGGGGTTTCGAGCCTACAGTTGAATGTCGAAGACAATCGTGGAATTAGGTGTCGTAACTCAATTTGATTACAGCTTTTACCACCCTCGTGACTGCTTCATTCACGGAGAAAATGTTAGTTACAAACAACAAGTCAGTACATATATCAAACGAATCGGTAATTTCAACATACTAAAATAAAATGATTAATATGAATGTCACTTCATGGACAAGACCAAGTAATCAACATCAATAAACATAAATTAAGGAAGCATTACACAAAAAACGTAAGCAATTACAAACAATAGCATAACGGTATCACATATGTGATTCTGCACTGCGGTTAAACCAAGTAAATTTCAAAAACAAAGAGTCAAACATACAAAAAATATAAAAAAATACAAATCACAAATACGATATAAAGAAATGCAAAGATTACTACCTGCATTAAATAACACGAAATAACAACAAACATTTATGGAGTGACGCATTCACGACCGCTATTCAAGACAAGATGCCAAACGTAACCCACATTCGTGCTTTCTCGGGACCGGGCATTAGGCCGCCAGACAAAGGACGCAGACATTCGGACGCGGGCATTAAGACGCAGACATTGGGACGCGGACATGAAGACGCAGACATTGGGATGCGGACATTAGGACGCAGATATTGGGATGCGGGCATTAGGACCCAGGTACGTAGTTTCATCCCTTGGTGCACTTAAAATAAAGCAAGGAGCCATCAAATTGGCGTTCTCCCCCTCCTCCCCTCGATTCCCTTCTTTTTCGCGTTTCAGGATAAGTCCGCGTTAGTGTCGCGAAGGGAGGAGAAGGCGCGGAGCGACGCTCCGATTCCGGACTCGGAAGGGACCGATCCTTCATCTGAGACCGCTTCGGCGATCCCCGAACCCCCCGTTGGCGGTCGAAGTTGATACTAATCATTTTACACGGATTATTTGTATTGAGGAATCAAAAGTATATGTAATAAAATGACATTAAAACCTTTTTACACAGATGAAATAAGTAAAATAACATTGGTTTAATTTCATTATACCTTTTATTGTCCTACCTGCAACCTGATGTCTGCTTTGTAAAGTAACCTGTATGATGTTTGCGTTCTAATGTCAGCAACACAATATCCGCATCCCTATGTCTGCGTCCTCATGTCCGCGTCCTAATGTCCGCATCCAAATGTCCGCGTCCCAGTGTCTGCGTCCTAATGCCCGCGTCCCAATGTCTGCGTCCTAAAGTCTTGCGGCCTATTACCATAGCGCCGTGCTTTCTAGATCACAGACCATCAACGGTTCTAGATGGTGTGTTACTGGCTAGAAATTGCATGGTTGCCAACTCTCAAAAATGTATGTATCGTCGTAAGTTGAATATACAGGGTGGAACCTCTCAGATGTATGTTGGTTATGTGTATTGTTGGCTGCCTTTCTCAATATGGAAGCGAAACACGTTATGTGGAGTGCACATTTTGGTCATATGGTCATTACGAATAAAGAGTTCAACAATCATTGTAATTATATGTTATGACATACCGTGTGTCCCAGGGAGAACGCACCATAGGGAAACGGAATTAATGTATTTTTTCGCGAAGGATCCACGAAGCCTTTGATATATATTTGCAGTTATGTTATTGCGCTTGCCTGGTGCTGGAAAGAGAGTAGTAAGGTGAACACTAATTTCAAAGGCAAATGGCAGTTTCCCTATTGTTGCCAATTTTTTTTTGAAATATTTAATTGTTACACTCTGTACGTTACCAAAATTGCACAAACGAACATGCACTTTGCGTTTATGAGTCAATTCGTCGCAATGATTAACGAACTATTCGCTACCCTATGGTGCGTCTGTGCCGGACTTCGCCGTGATATCGGTTTTAGGGCGAATATCTAAGCAAAATTATCTTTGATCAAAGGAAAATTGAACGAAATCGACGATTTGGTCACAAAAGCGAAGTGAATCAACGCATAATGAGTAAGAAGTAATGAGTCAATTCGTCGATAGGTGTTTCGCATCAAAGCATAACGAGTACCGGCCTTTATGCACCTTAACAAGCAAAGTAGTATTGCGGGTAGAATAACGTCGATTTTCGTTTGTTTTTACTACGAGTTCGTTGCATCGTATAAACTCGAGAGGCGAGAAATAAAAATAAAACAGTTTCGGTGAGTAGTTGAGTGACAGTAGCAGAAAATTAATTCCGAATTTTAATTAAAAGTGGGTTTTATATGAAGAATAAATGTAAGTATGATAAGTGGATCTTTTAGTCGCTATTGGATGCGCTTTTGAAGATGTTATGTAAGTTTTGTTTTTATTTTGTTTCAGATTACACCTGTTGCTTGTAAACTTAACCACACCACTTGCTCTTGTTTTGGTTTCACCTTTAAAAACATTCTCACGCTTCTTCTTTCTTTCAAAAGTAATGAAGTAACATTTAGTTCTTCATCTTAAGTGATCAATTTAAGTGCATAATTAGGTATAGGTACCTATCTTCCAACATGTAAGGACAATGTATAAACCTCCCGAAAACTCAAATCGTGTAAAAGCCATCACAAGTAAATTTGAGAATAATGTCAACGAAACCAAAATACAAACCAAACCCCCATTACGAAAATCGAGAACGTTACAAGACTTTAAAGTCACCAAACGAGAAAATCAAGGAGAAAAAATAACGCTAAGACATATAGAAACAAAAAATTCTCAGCAAACATTATCGAGACAATTAAGCGATCCTACAAAACGAAACATTAAGCGTTCACCGGCCTTTCGATTGGATAAAACCCCAGATTCTTCCAATCGTATTGTTCAAAACAAAACACTGTATCTGGAAAAGATTGTCAAAGCCAACAACAATCGTGACGACACGGCTAAAACACAACCAAAGTTGGAAGAAACTACAGTCTCTGAACTCCGGAAGAAATTTAATGTCACTTCGCCAACTAACAAACCCGATAATCTGCCATTTCTCTACTCTGAACCCGTGCCTAAATCGCAAAGAAATAAACAGTTTCATAATGCTTCCACTTTAAAAATTTCCGACCATTGCAAGAATGGTAACAATACAGAAAACAAAGTGCCAAATTATGGTAGTTTAAATGTTAAAAAGAATATCGATAACTTAACAGATACCTTAAAGAACGCATTAAAAAAACCACTCCCACCGGGACCAGCACCAAAAAAGCCACCACGCACATTTTTGCATACGCCGACCAAGTCACATGACGATCACCAACCCATCTCACGTGCAGATTTTACCAAGAAGTTAAGTTTAGAATTGCAAAAACCTCCCTTGGAAAATAAAAAGTTGAAAGGCGATCCGAAGTACATGCTAGATAAACTCGAAACTGCGTTAAAAAGTCGGGGGGTATTATTAAGACGACAAGTAAAAAGCGACTATACATCGGAAGACGACAGCGATAGCGAAAAGCAAAAGTTGATTAATTCGCGCGAATTGCCGACATTACCGTACACTCCCGCCGAGACTTCGCCCAAATTTAACTTCAATTGCTTACCTTCGCTCAGCTGCAGTGGTAGTAATTACGCGACGGTTAAGGAATCTAACTCTTCATTTTTTGTTACTTGTAAGAAAGAAGAACCAGTGTACGCGGAACCGTTCGAGTACCAGCCGGATCTCGATGAGAGGCAGAGTGACGACAATAGTAGTGCCATAGAAAGCCCCACGGGAGAATCCGCGGGTAGGAGAACTATTCGACGTAGTGTGCATTATGCAGTAAGTACACATTGTCAATTATTTGATTTATTAGTAGTACTTGGAATTACATCTGCATTCAATATGATTCTGAAACAAATCCACAATGTTTTGTGCCAAGTAAGTAATGCGTAATTCCTATCTTCCACCAAAGTTACGGTCAGAAACATAAGTGGAAACTTGGTGGGAGAGCGGGATTCTTACTAAAATGTTTGAAGAGAAGCTCTACATTTTTTAATCGCGTAAAGTATTGATTTCTTTACCTAACCTTCGGTGCCAATGTAGGTATCATGAGCGGAGATTTATAGATCCGCTCGTAGATCCCGTAAGATGAAATTCTTCCTCAAGCTGTCAAGACGAATATTGTGAATTTTGTAGATCGCGTAAATTTAATTGTTAATTTAAAGTTCGAACCGAAAGCCATATAGTCGCATGGTGTGGGAGATTTGTGCCACCTTTTTCCGACGATTTTAGTGTCTTACGTAATTTAATTGTATGTTCAGTAAGCTGCCCTTTCGCGAACAAGACAAATAATAAGATTATAAGTTGTTTTTTAAGCAACGTCGTGTATCGAAAACTAATGGTCGGCTGATATAGTTTTCAACCGCGAACAGTGCGAAGTGTTACCGTATTAATACGTAAGCGAACATGTTCGTTTCAGTGTATTGGATTGCGGTGCTCGTATTCCAATAACTTGTTACCACGAAAGCGTTGTGGTCCAAGATGCAAAAAATTGCGTTGCTTTATTTTTTGGAGTGATTAGTTAGACAAGCTTATAGGATGTCGTCTCCTTCCTTGGGCTTGTGAACCCGACAAAATACTCAAAACAGGCATCGACGCGTGCGCTGCCTTCCGAGGTCCGTGGTTGACGAGCGCTTACAAAGAGGAGCTACGATCACTTGGTCATGCGCATTTTGTGTAAATTTCGTTGTTTTGTGTAAGTTTGCTTTTAAAAAAAAATTGGGAAAACAATCTTAAACCTACAAATTGTACGAAAGAATCGAAGTCGGGCCACCCGCGTGCAAGCCGGGTGTCCTAGCCACTAGACCTTTGTGGCACACGTTGAACCGTGACTGAACTAATCGCTTGATTTGTCGAATAAAAAGACTTACATTTGTGCTATTATTGTCTTAATCCATAGGTTTTAAACCTGCATGAGAAATCCAGACGGAGATGTGATGTGCATGTAGTTGCTATGCAACTGTGGAATCCCACACTAAAAAAAACTAAAACTAACCTAATTTTTTAACGGAACACCATGTATATTTTAATTTAAAAAGATAAGATATAAAATTGTCTTTTCAAAAATATCAGGGACGAGATCAGGGATGATATTCAACAATGATTCAAGTAATTGATAAAAATTTCAGAAAAATTCAAAAAGGGCCAAAATACTCAAAAATGCTAAAGAAAAGGTCCAAATGATTAAAAAATATAGAAAAATTTTAAAAAGGTTATTGAATTTTTTAATTTTTCTAAAAACTTGTTTGAATCAATATTGAATGTTTTTCAATTTTTTTAGTGTTACATTTTTGAAAAGAGAATTTAATACGCTATCTTTTTAGATTAAAATATACAGGGTGTTCTATTTAAAAATTAGTTTTATAGTTTTACTAATTTGATCATGATTTTATCTATCATATTTAAAAAAGTTCATACTTTAATAATACCTCACGTGAAAGAGTGCTTTTCATTATAAAAGCGACGCTCTGAGTTCTGTAGACGCACGCCACTGTAAATAATTTTTATGCATGTCGATATACTTAAAACTTTTTAATGATTTTTGATACCTACAGTAGGTCTAACAAAAGAATATCGTTTTTTTTCAACGCAAACTAGTGAACTTATAAAATTAATTAATACAATTATTATTTTCCTTAATTTGAGACTTTCAGTTTTTCTCTTAGTAAGTTTTTTTTGCTGCTATATCCAAAAAAATGTACTAATATGCCGGCCCGTGTGGCGCAGTTCAGTTGAAACTGGACTGTGGTGCTAAGAGTCCTTGGTTCGAATCCAGGTTCGGGCATGGATGTTTGTAAATGTATAGTGGGTTCGGTTAGTAGAGCAGCCTTGGCTGAAACCCCGCCCACTCAAAAATAAAGGCAAATAAATTTAAGAAAATATGTAATGAAAAGTAGTAGGTAGTTGCCATTAAATATGCCCCCCACCGGCCCAAAATAAAAAACCGAAAATTGGAGATTCTGATTTGATTGGCAATATTACGCAAATAGAGTATTTCATTGCACTATGTCATTGATCAAGAAAGTTAGAGAATAAATTTCTTACTGCAGCGAATATTCTAGAAATCACAATCGACATCGAGGCGCCATTAAAGATTAGCCATCGGCGATGTTAGTAAATAAAGGGTGCTGCAACAGTGCGTCGGTCTTTCCTAGCTCTGTACAGGTAAAAAATTATTTCGATTTGTTCATTTCATTTGTTAACATCTACATGGAAACCTTATTGACTTTTTGGTTTTTTGTCAACGTTGTCATCTTAATAAATTTTTTTCCGAATTATTCTTCAAAAGCAAGCCTAACTTTGATGAATCGTAGCTACCTTGATTTTGAAGTAAGGAAATACATTTGATGTTAATCCGAGCAACACTTTTGAGAACGAGATTGGACTTAATGATACAGAGTGTGCATAAGGAGATGGTAAAATCGAGGGTAACATTTTCAAACTTTAAAGTGCCATAGCCAAAGCGCACTATCACAGGACCCTGTATAACTGGTTTTTAGCGCATTTCCACAAAAATAAAAAAATGCGCTATTGTGGCCACTTTGTCCGTCCGTCCGTCCGTCCGTCTGTCCAATCGTTTTGCGACGCTACTAGTTCTTTATCTTAAGAGCTATTTCTACTTTTTCCGCTATTTGGTTCGTTATGGTGTCGAGTCTTGTACCAAGGAAGGAATTTTTTCTGTACCGCTTACAAAAAAAGTTATTGTAAAAAAAACAAAAAACCATTTTTTACATGTTCTATAATTTTACACTTTTGCCGTTTATTAACGATCCTAGAGATCGTTTATAATTTTGCATTGCTATCTGTCGTCTGCATGCTGGTCTGTCCGTCTGTTCCTTTGTCTGTCTGTCCATCTATCTGTCCGTGTGAACCATAACTTTGTTTAGAAATGTTCGATCGCTTTTACATCTCCGTTAGTTATGAACTGAATTGCATGAAATTCAATATGAGCATAGATTTAGCCATATAATACGCAACGCCAAAAGTTGAATCGAATCGATTCAAAATTCACAGTGCCCTTTTCGCATCTCGACCATTTATAAACCGAATTGCAATTTTTTACTTATAAAAGTATTTGAATAAATTTGATACATAGGCACTTGGATAAAGGAAAATCAAACGCCAATTTCAAAATTTGGTTTTGCGCATGCGCAGTGCCAACTTTTTTATTTATGGAAGAATTTAAACGAAATTTGATACATAGGCACTTGGGATAAAGGAAAATCAAACGCCAATTTCAAAATTTGGTTTTGCGCATGCGCAGTGCCAACTTTTTTATTTATGGAAGAATTTAAACGAAATTTGATACATAGGCACTTGGGATAAAGGAAAATCAAACGCCAATTTCAAAATTTGGTTTTGCGCATGCGCAGTGCCAACTTTTTTATTTATGGAAGAATTTAAACGAAATTTGATACATAGGCACTTGGGATAAAGGAAAATCAAACGCCAATTTCAAAATTTGGTTTTGCGCATGCGCAGTGCCAACTTTTTTATTTATGGAAGAATTTAAACGAAATTTGATACATAGGCACTTGGAATAAAGGAAAATCAAACGCCAATTTCAAAATTTGGTTTTGCGCATGCGCAGTGCCAACTTTTTTATTTATGGAAGAATTTAAATGAAATGTGATACATAGGCACTTGGAATAAAGGATCATCGAGCGCCAGTCTCAAAATTTTCTTTTGCGCATGCGCAGTGCCAACTTTTTTATCTATGGCACCATTTAAGTGAAATTTGATACTTAGGCGCTTGGAACAAAGGAAAATCTAACATTAGTTTTTAAATTTAGGTTTGCGCATGCGCAGTTCCAACTTTCTTATTTAGAAAAGCATTGAAATGAAATTCTTCTCATAAACTGAAATTGAAGTAACACGTCAAAAAATGGATTGCCCATGTGCAACGCTATCTTTCATATTTGTGGCCGGATTTTTACGATTTTAACAGAAGTTGCATCTTATAATAATGGGAAATGAATGCAAGTGGAAATGCGCTTTATGTAAATCGTTTACGATTACTTTTTAACTTGTTTAAAGTAGACGCACCTAGAACGGCAATGGACGGACGGTACGGATCGAAAAAAATAGTTTTAATGGAATTTGTTTCGGCGATTCCGATAACTTATGTGCGATATCCTACCAACAAATGCGTAGAATACCGTCCGTAACTAACCGTACCGTTCGTCCGATGCCGTTCTATGTACCTTTAGCAAGATTAGCAAGTAGGAGTCCATGTAAGTTTAATATTATGATTAAAGTCACTAGATATAGAAAGTACTACAATCATCCGCCATTTTTGGGCAAATTTGCTGCCAACTTAAAAAAATTGACAAATAAAATCTGAATGGCTGTAATTTGTAAACCTAACTTCATAGTAGTCATGTTTTATAAAAATATATACAATATCTCCAAACAGTTGGAACAATCCCTAACATTAAAGTTACTAGAATCTGGTAACTTCCGCCATTTCTGGGCAAAAATCATGCGTTCTCTCTCTAACACACGAGCCCCATGGATTGCGGTACTTTCTATCTAGTGACTTTAATTATGATAATAGAAACACGCCATTCTATTAAATTTTCAAAAAAAGTTACATATTCACAGTAGTAAGAAAATGGCCCATTTCAGGAGTGGTTGACACTTACACAAATTATAAGTAATGCCAATATTCTACAAAATAGTAGTTGAGGCACGATGTAAAATAAGAAAACGACTAAATCTTTAAAAATGCGAGAACCGTTTATTGATTGTTTGAACACCTTTTTCGAGTGACAATTAGT